ATCATTTGTGGACGAGATTTTCCGGGACTTGCATGGACAGGGTGTTGTGGTATATATTGATGACATTCTAATATATTCCGCTACACGAGCCGAGCATGTGTCCCTGGTGCGTCGAGTGCTTGGTAGACTGTTGGAGCATGACCTGTATGCGAAGGCGGAGAAATGTCTGTTCTTCCAGGAGTCCATCTCCTTTCTGGGACATCGGTTGTCCGCGTCAGGGGTAGAGATGGAGATTGACCGCATTTCTGCCGTGCGTAATTGGCAGACTCCCACCACGGTAAAGGAGGTGCAGCGCTTCTTGGGTTTTGCCAATTACTACCGGAGGATTTATCCGGGGCTTTGGACAGGTAGCAGCTCCCATTACCTCTCTGCTAAAGGGGGGTCCGGTGCGCCTGCAGTGGTCAGCTGAGGCGGACAGGGCATTTAAACGTCTGAAGGACCTGTTTACCTCGGCTCCGGTGCTGGCGCATTCGGATCCCTCTTTGGCATTCCAGGTGGAGGTGGACGCTTCCGAGGCTGGGATCGGCGCTGTGCTGTCTCAGCGCTCGGGTACGCCACCTAAACTACGCCCCTGTGCTTTCTATTCTAAGAAGCTCAGTCCGGCGGAGCGCAATTATGACGTGGGGGATAGGGAGCTGCTGGCTGTGGTTCAAGCCCTGAAGGTGTGGAGATATTGGCTTGAGGGGGCTAAACACCCTTTTCTCATTCTGACTGACCATCGTAACCTGGAGTACATCCGGGCAGCGAGGAGGCTGAATCCTCGCCAGGCAAGGTGGTCAATGTTTCTTTCCCGTTTTGTATTTAAGCTCACCTATATACCAGGGTCCCGGAACGCTAAGGCAGACGCCCTGTCCCGACTATATGACACAGAGGAGGGGTCCATTGAGCCCACTCCCATACTCCCGGAGTCTTGCTTAGTGGCACCGGTGGTGTGGGAGGTGGATGCGGAAATCGAGCGGCCGTTACGTTCCGACCCTACTCCTCCACAGTGTCCAGAGGGTCGGAGGTACGTGCCGCTCGAGGTTCGCGACCGTTTGATATACTGGGCTCACACGTCACCCTCCTCTGGTCATCCGGGTATTGGTCGGACAGTGCACTGCCTTAGTGAGAAGTACTGGTGGCCAACCTTAGCTAAGGACGTGAGGGTTTATGTTTCCTCCTGCTCGGTGTGCGCCCAGTGTAAGGCACCTAGACACCTGCCCAGGGGGAAGTTACAACCCCTACCCGTTCCACAACGGCCGTGGTCTCACCTATCGGTAGATTTTGTCACGGACCTTCCCCCCTCCCAGGGGAACACTACGATCTTGGTCGTTGTGGATCGGTTTTCTAAAGCCTGCCGTTTTATTCCCCTGCCAGGTCTCCCTACTGCCCTACAAACTGCTGAGGCCCTGTTTACACACGTCTTCCGGCACTGTGGGGTGCCTGAGGATATAGTGTCTGATCGGGGTCCCCAGTTCACCTCTAGAGTCTGGAGGGCATTTATGGAACGTCTGGGGGTCTCGATTAGCCTTACCTCAGGTTTTCACCCCGAGAGTAATGGGCAGGTGGAGAGAGTTAACCAGGATGTGGGTAGGTTTCTGAGGTCATATTGCCAGGACCGGCAAGAGGAGTGGTCGGGATATATTCCCTGGGCAGAGATAGCCCAAAACTCCCTCTGCCATTCGTCCACTAACCTTACGCCTTTCCAGTGTGTGTTACGGTATCAGCCGATTCTGGCACCTTGGTATCAGAGCCAGACCAAAGCCCCTGCGGTGGACGAGTGGTTTCGGCGCTTGGAAGAAACTTGGAACGCTGCGCACGTCCATCTGCAGCGGGCCATCAGGCGTCAAAAGGCAGTGAGGCTCCGGTGTATGCACCGGGAGACGAGGTCTGGCTCTCGACCCGAAACATGCCCCTTCGCCTGCCCTGCCGGAAGCTGGGTCGGCAGTTTGTGGGGCCCTTTAAAGTCCTGAGGAGATTGAACGAGGTATGTTATAGGTTACAACTGCCCAGGTATTATCGCATTAACCCCTCGTTCCATGTGTCTCTCCTCAGGCCGGTGGTGGCTGGTCCACTCCAGGAGAATGAGGTATGAGAGGCTCCTCCGCCCCCGTTGGACATCGAGGGGGCTCCGGCGTACTCAGTCCGTTCCATCTTGGATTCGAGGCGTCGGACGGGGGGCCTGCAGTATCTCGTGGAGTGGGAGGGGTACGGTCCGGAGGAACGGTGCTGGGTCCCCAGGAGGGACATTCTAGATCCCTCCATGTTGAGGGACTTCCACCGGAGTCATCCGACTCGCCCTGCTCCGCGTCCTCCTGGCCGTCCCAGAGGCCAGGGTCGGCGCATGGCTGGAGCCGCGCGTCAAGGGGGGGGGGGGGGGGGGGGGGGGTACTGTCACGGAATCAGCCGAGGCTGCTCCTCCTCCTTGCTCGGGCAGGTTTCGGCGTTCGTCGTCCCCGGAGTACTAGCTGCCACCGATCTATGTTTCGGTGTTTGATTTGTTTTGTCCTGATTGTGTACACCTGTTCCCCATTATGATGTATTGTTTCCCCTATTTAACCCTCTGTCGTACATTGTGTGTTGTGTGTTATTGTATTCGTCTTCGGCGGTGTTAGTGTGCGGGTTGTTTTCCTCCTTGTATGGAGATGGTTTTCTTTCCTGGTTACTGTAAAGTAAAGTACGTTTCCAGTAAGCTCTGTGTCCTGCGTTTGACTTCGCCTACCGCATTTCACCGTCGCCACCTGACACATTCACAGTAATTTAATTTCAGTTGGCTATTGCCATTTGATTTATGTATTTAAACATGGTTTAACAAACATCCACGAATGTTCCAATCAATGCTGTACAGTTGAAGTCGGAAGTTTACATACACTTAGGTTGGAGTCATTAAAACTCGTTTTTCAACCACTCCACACATTTTTTATTAACAAACTATCGTTTTGGCAAGTCGGTTAGGACATATACTTTGTGCATGACACAAGTAATTTTTCCAACAATTGTTTACAGACAGATTATTTAACTTATAATTCACTGTATCACAATTCCAGTGGGTCAGAAGTTTACATACACTAAGTTGACTGTGCCTTTAAACAGCTTGGAAAATTCCAGAAAATGATGTCATGGCTTTAGAAGCGTCTGATAGGCTAATTGACATCATTTGAGTCAATTGGAGGTGTACCTGTGGATGTATTTCAAGGCCTACCTTCAAACACAGTGCCTCTTTGCTTGACGTCATGGGAAAATCAAAAGAAATCAGCCAAGACCTCCGAAAAAACATTGTAGACCTCCACAAGTCTGGTTCATCCTTGGGAGCAATTTCCAAACGCCTGAAGGTACCATGTTCATCTGTACAAACAATAGTACGCAAATTTAAACACCATGGGACCACACAACTGTCATACCGCTCAGGAAGGAGACGCGTTCTGTCTCCTAGAGATTAACGTACTTTGGTGCGAAAAGAGCAAATCAATCACAGAACAACAGCAAAGGACCTTGTGAAGATGCTGGAGGAAACAGGTACAAAAGTAATTATATCCACAGTAAAACGAGTCCTATATCGACATAACCTGAAAGGCCGCTCAGAAGGAAGAAGCCACTGCTCCAAAACTGCCATAAAAAAGCCAGACTACGGTTTGCAAATGCACATGGGGACAAAGATCGTACTTTTCTGAGAAATGTCCTCTGGTCTGATGAAACAAAAATAGAATTGTTTGGCCATAATGACCATCGTTATGTTTGGAGGAAAAAGGAGGTTGCTTGCAAGCCGAAGAACACCATCCCATCCGTGAAGCACGGGGGTGGCAGCATCATGCTGTGGGGATGCTTTGCTGAAGGAAGGACTGGTGCACTTCACAAAATAGGTGACATCGTGAGGAAGGAAAATTATGTGGATATATTGAAGCAACATCTCAAGACATCAATCAGGAAGTTAAAGCTTGGTCGCAAATGGGTCTTCCAAATGGACAATGACCCCAAGCATACTTCCAAAGTTGTGGCAAAATGGCTTAAGGACAACAAAGTCAAGGTATTGGAGTGGCCATCACAAAGCCCTGACCTCAATCCTAAAGAAAAGTTGTGGGCAGAACTGAAAAAGCGTGTGTGAGCAAGGAGGCCTACAAACCTGACCCAGTTACACCAGCTCTATCTGGAGGAATGGGCCAATATTCACCCAACTTATTGTGGGAAGCTTGTGGAAGGCTACCCGAAACGTTTGACCCAAGTTAAACAATTTAAAGGCAATGCTACCAAATGCTAATTGAGTGTATGTAAACTTCTGACCCACTGGGAATGTGATGAAAGAAATAAAAGCTTAAATATTATTCTGACATTTCACATTCTTAAAATAAAGTGGTGATGCTAACTGACCTAAGACAGGGAATTTTTAGTAGGATTAATGTCAGGAATTGTGAAAAACTGAGTTTAAATGTATTTGACAAAGGTGTCTGTAAACATCCGACTTCAACTGTATATAAACCCTGATTGCTGATGCTATGTATTGGCAGTTGAGAGGCTTTGAAGCCACAGGTCGGCCATATTGGCACTCCCCAGTAGGAGCAGCCCTCCATAGGAATGAATGGAATTGTACAGTATTTCAATTAAATGTTTCAAGGACAAAATTACATGTATTTATTTTTGTTGTTGTAGTGGGGACAGTAACATCAGTAATCTAACAAAAATGATACTTTAAGGAAAATGTTTTTATAAATGTGTTCATTATTTATGCTTAGCTCATATATTATAATTCAAAAGTATGCATTAAGGTGTCTGTAATATAATAAATGTGGCAAAAACGAATGCAGGCATTAATAAATGCATTTCTATAACTCCCAAAATATTTTTACAACGGTGGGGGAGTGCCAAGATGGAGGCACAGTGGCTTCAACACAGCGCCCCCTTTCTGACATCTAGTCAGTAGTGTATATATAAATTATTGTTTCCAACTCAGCACTGTTCTACGACTCGGTGAGAGAGTAACGCATGCTCAGTAGAGAGGATAAAAATGTAAGCATTATGCAGAACATTTTATAGTCTACTGTATGTAGCCTACTGTTTTTTAGGCTGAGTTGCGCGCATGCCCCATGTCATAGTAAAGGAAAAGCATAATGAAATATCTCTCTCATTGACCTTAGTGCGCATGGTCATTGCTTTTGTGTCATTTATGTCCGTCTGAGCAAGATCAGCTGCACTTCATGTATTGCAGAAATAAGTTTTACGGCGTTGAAGTAGGCTTTTGAAAGGAATCATCGGACAAGGAAACAGAATATGTCGGTAAATAAAGCTAAGAAAGTAAAAATGGCTACCAAATCATGTCCTGAGTGCGACCAACAGGTGAGAAAACGTATAGATATTGTTCATTTTGATATATGTTGATTTAGTGATAATGTTGTTTTGCCTCACAAGCATGGGATTTAAAGCCACTGTAGGCTGCTGAAGTCCCTTATGGTAGCCTATGGATTCAAGATCTGGAGCAACATAGTCTAATCTAATGCGAATAATCAGGCTAATCCTCTAAAATAGTATATGCATTATTTCTCAAACACTATGTTACAATGTACCTCAACTACAGCTAGTAATTGCAGACAACGACACGTTAATACGATTAAAGAGTCGGGAATGTTATTGCTCGCCAAATGTAGCTAGACGTTTCCTTATTTTTGATACACTGTAATACTATAACCTAACTGAAACTGGTTTATCACGGTGATCTGACTTTGCATATCATAGGCTATAACGTTAGCCTTAGAACAATATCGTGCGTTGAAATGTTCTTACATGTCACGTTAGCTGCATTGCTGACATTGTATATATTGTGAAAGTGACATATTACACAAATAAATCGTAGTTTATACCAAATGGCGACATTTGGATCTAGCTTTTAGATCGTTTCTTGATATTATTTCTGTAAACTGCATCGATGAATTGATTTGCTTTCACAAATAATGTGTCGACGAAATGTAGGCTACTAGTCGACATTCGATTTGAAAATGATTTATTCATTAGAATGTTTTAATGTCACCGCTGTTGTCTGCACGTGTCCAAAATATGTGGTGCGAGTTTCTGCAAGGACTTTTCATGAATTACAAAGGACAGTCCTCTAATATCTCAAAATTGTTGGGCAGTATAGTTATCATGGGGGTTAACTGGCTACGCCCTTGTTTAACTATTACAAACAAAAAAATACTAAACAAGTTTATATAGCTTCTGCAATGTAGCCTATGCTTAATAAATGACTTTATCAACACAGTTGCTACAATTTTGAGGAATATTTGATATTAACCATGTTTCATCCTGTTTCTATTTTTTTTAGATTCCAGTTGCTTGCAAGTCTTGTCCCTGTGGCTATGTATTCATTAGTCGAAAGCTTCTAAATGCCAAACTGAATGAGAGATCACCACCAGCAATAGGTAAATTCACATAATTCAGGAGCCTACAAATCATAGTTTCTTTGACGTTCTCTTCACATGCTCAATGTTACCATGTTTATTAACCAAGGTATTTTTGTTTATTATGAGCCTGTAAAACATTCACATGAGATTGGTGATAAAGTAGGCAGAATGTAATTGTATTAATACATGACTAAACTAAGTTAATGAATTGTATTCATCTTGGTCATTTTTTATTTGCCCCCCCCACACTTAAATTGTATTGGTGTTCATTTTTTTGAGTGGTGCAGTGGTGGCTGATTTAAATCGCTATTTGCTTGAGTGACTAGCCTACTGCAAGAAGTGGGGGGATGGGATATTTTATTCCTGACTGAAAAGCTTGTTCCCTCAGTTCTCTCTTGTATGCTTCTGCAGTAGCATACGGCAGCCTATACCGCTCACTGTGAAAAGTTAGATCTTACATTTAACTGTAGAGTTAGATCAGGTTGTCTTTCGTGACATTTTACATTTTCAGAATGCAGATATCTAATAGGATTTGATTAAGCCATTTCCAAAAGGTGATTAGGAAAATACATTAGAATACAGAATTGTTATATAACCCATGAAATGCAAGCTCATGCTGCTATGATCCTGTCAAATGTTGAAAGTGTAAGAATTAGATAGAGGGACGAGAAGCCTGTCTGTGTATCTGAGCATGTTTACAGATTACTAGCTCTCTGTTTATTCTAATGAGGGCTGTTTCAGTGTGCATGTCATCAATGTGCTACTGTCTGCCCATAGCCTCGCATCTACCTCCAAACAGACTGTTTAAAAATGCAGTAACATATTAACAATTATTTTGATCAGTTTTTTGAAGAATATGACCTAAAAATACCATAAATAGCTTAGTACTACTTTATAACCTGATAATAAACACATTTATGCAAAGTTTCTTTCAACCTTAGAGAATGAGAACCAAATGTGAATCAATACAATGCTGCTGTTTTGATTTTAAAAGATGGAGTGAGTGGAATGCTAAATGTAGGCAAGTACTTAAAAAAAAAAATCTGGGTTGGGGTGAAATCATCATGTATAGGCTACCACAGTGCTTGAAGTTATGAATGGAATGTTAAACACAACATGCCTTTGTGAGAACTTTGGTTTTATTATACACTTATTAGTATTAGACAGTTTATGGAGTAGAATTACTCACATCTTCTCTCGATTTATGATACAATTTCATTAGTTTCATATGATACCGAATGAACTTTGATGTATTGTAGTTAATAAGTATCTTGAAGGCAGAGAAGACTGCTTCCATTTGAAGAGGAAGGGGTCTTGAATTTTAGCTCTGTGATTTTTTTATGATGGGTTTTGGTTTCCCCCTCTCCTTAAATAGTTCATAATTTGCCTCTCCTCTGTGTAATTTCTGTAGACCGTCTCAAGTTTTCAGGTTTTAATTTGAGTACTTCCTTTGTAACTTTGAGACAGACACTAATAAAACATGATTATTGTTGAATATAAAGACTAAGGTTGCACTGAGAACCTTTTTTTCTGGATAAAAGTGCAGATAGTTGTATTTATTTTTTGCTCACTCATGATTCCTTAGTGGAACATATTTTAGTAAGACTGTGTTATTTTCCGGTGGCCTTTTTTTAATATCAGCTGTTCTTGACTATTGAATTTAGCCTTGGAAAAGGTGAAGTAGTAAATTATGTATATGATGTTTATGTTATATTATGCAGTGAAATAGTTTTCTCAGACTATTGATTATGTCACAATTGTATGCAAATATTGTCAGTCTGAAGAGGAAGTGTGTTGCTGTTGATAAGGCTAGAATTCCTGGGAAGAACATATATTTTCAGGCCTTGTCCAGACTTTGAAAAACTCAATTGAAATGAATAGCAACTCTATTGCTATGCAATTATTACGGAGTTACTAAAAAACTGTCCAATGATTTGTTAATAGAATATTGTTAGTAGTGGGTTGCTACCCAGGTATAAAGCGTTACCCTTTTGGGCACCAAATATTTGTTATCTCGCCCTTTCAATCAGTGCTTATTTTGAAACCTAAATACTCCTGAGTGCACACTCACTGCCTACACCACAGAGGAAGCAGCATATGTGGTAATTGAAGTTTCTGAAGAGGAATACTTTTTGAAAGGCCACTAGAAAGAAACTCCCAGTGAAATATAGGCCTACTTCCTGCTCTGGTAATAAGAACACTCCACAGAACACTCCAATGACTTAAAGTGGTTCGGAGGCAACAGCACACCTAGGATGCTAGATATGCAATGGAATCACAGAAAAGGGAATGCAAGCATCTTCCTTTTGGTGGAATCGTGTTGTATATGAGAGGAGTTTGTTATTCTGTTGTTATTTCAAGGCAGTATTGTTGGTGTGTTGGAAGAGGGGGGTTGGGAGGAGAGAAAAGGGGGAGGCTCAGATGTTTAATACCATATGGCCTTCCCACAAAACTTTCCGTAACATACAATTAAACTGGAGTCATTGGCATAACACGATTTTTCCTTATGATGTATGATGCATTTGATATTGTGACATATTTGAAGGCCATACACTATTATACATTAATATTTCATTTCCATATTGCATATTCTTAGTGTTAATACAATAAAATAAAAAAATCTGGTCTATTTAGACAAGTTGGATGCAAAGAGGAGGAGAACTGAAAGAATTCGCAGAGAGAAGATCAACTCTCCGTCAACCAATGACATGGAGAACAGAAGGCGATGCCGCTCCAACAGTCAATCGGATCAGATCCGGAGAGGGCGGGGCAGGCCAAAGACAGTTGGGCTGAAGAAGCAGGAGGAGGAGAAAGGTAATTAAAATAATAACAAGCCTCTGTCAGTGACACTCAATCACATTTAATGGTGCAGTTATGAGATATTAAGCCGTTTCCAAGATACTTTCTTTATTATTCCTGACTTTGTGCTGACTTTTAATATTACTCTTTTAGTAATATTTCAGTATTTTTCAGTCACAGGAGATGAGGCTGGTGATTAGTGCAGTATTGGGACAGAGCTGGGGGATTTGTGTTTGGATGAATGATTTACAGAGCGGGTTGCTCTCTCACCCATGAATAAATCATGGTGTCCCTGACTGCCTGTGCTTTAGCGGCTGATCTATAAGGAGAAATATAATTATGCATGTTCCTCCTCTGTGGAAGACAGAAATGACGTTAATATATTGCACAAGGTTATTGTTGTCACATGCAAATGATTATTAATTTCTCAATGGTTTATCTCTATTAACCAGGGATGTTGTTAATTCATTCTCTTCTGTGTTTTTTTTTTTTACCAGAAAAATTTGAGAAAGAAGTTGATATCTATGCCAACCTCTCAGATGAGAAAGCGTTTGTGTTTTCGGTGGCATTGGCCGAGATCAACCGAAAGATCCTGGGCCAAAGACTGATCCTATAGACAGACCAGATGGTTGCTGTGAGGGATTGACATGTGAAACCTAAGATTGTTACTGTGGAGAGACCCATGGATGACCACCACAGTGTGTCTAATAGGGTGTGAACTCTGACCCAAAGAACTCCCTGTCGGATTGGTCGAAGCCTTGGGAAAATGGAGATGTTGGGGAACATGGAGAAGCAGGCACCTGGTCTGCTCAAGAGGAAATGTTGGAACCAACTATTATCTTTAGAGAGTAGCTTATGGAATTGGAGGGGGTAGGACATCTGAATATTTATATTTTAATCAGATTTTATATTATATATATTAGATGATATGGTATAGGTATAGGATTCATCACCTTGTCAACCAAGAAAGCTGTCAGTAACAAATGCAAAACATTTCTATTAAAAAAGGGCATAAATGTGTTGAAGTATGGAGGGCCATCCTAGCATTGTAACTGGCTTCTATAACGTTATTGGCTTGTAGGGCTAGTAAACACTGTTTATTTAAATCTAGATGCCATTGGAACATAATGTTCAATATATTTTGTATCATGCTTAGGACTTTAGGAGAAGGCCTTGTACATTTATATTTATAATGTTTGTGTACCATCTTAATTTAAATGCATATTGTTTTATCTTTTGTTTCATTATTGGTGACATTATATGAAATATGTAATATTTGCTCTGGACACCTGTAATTTAAATGTCAAAGGCAAATCCTATTTAATGTGACTTATTTTGTCATTAAAAGAGATTAATCACAACCACCACTGTCAGATTTTGGGCCTTAATGGGCAAATGTTAGTTTTTATTGAAGAGTGTGTTACTGCACATACAGTATATTACTAGTGCATGGTTTTGTATTACCCACCCTCTCATGTCTATACGTTACCCCGCAGCAGGCAGTGAGGGATGGGCTGGGTCCCTGGGCCCCCGAGACACCTGTTTGTAACCTGCCCATTTCTCCTGGAGACAGCTGCTGCTGCCGTTTCTCCAGCTCTGCTCTGCCTCCCTCCACAGGGAAAGGCCCTGCCATTAACTGCTCATCCATCTGGAGCACATCCCAGTTTCCATGGAACTCTCAACAGATCTCAACCTCACATTGTAATCCTGTTGGAGACATTTTCACCTGCCTGGCCTCTTCTTTGTACACCAAACTGCATTGGATACATGTATGAATGTACAGAAACATGCTTACATCATATCCTGTTTATTCATACTATGAGTGAAACCTGAGAGGAAACACTGCTGGGGTTTGAATATGCAAGGCAGGGCTGTAAATGATGAGATATAATGATATAATGAGACTTTCTTCTTGGTTAAGAAAAGGGTTCTGTGTGCTGTATTATTGACACCTCAGTCCTTGTGAGAAACTGTGGGCATTCAGTGAACCAGAAAGAGGCCGTGTTAAGCATGCCCCTATGGGAAATACATGTGAGTAAAAACAAAAGACAGTGCTGTTCCTATAGGGGGAAAAGTAATGAATTAGAATCTAAGTGAAATAATGAAAAGGTTATTTGAGAGTTACATTTACTGTGTAATTGACAGAACCCAGATGGAGTTTCATAAGAGTCGGGCATTGGCAGTATATGGCTGTAAATTATCCAGGATGCATTTTTTTTATGTCATGGGGATTATGTGGATTGGCTGCCCTAAGACATTGTATTTATTCCCCCCAAATAGTCAGAGGAGAGTTACACACAATAAAGAAGGGATTCAGGGTGAACCCAGGATTTTTTTCTTCTCAAAACCATTTACATAAGATACTTGAGTAAAGCCTGCCTGTTGCAATGCAAAAACCACAGGAGATGGTTGAACTTTCACATTGGGCCTCTGAGTCGAATACATTGAAACACTGTGAATAATACACCTCCATCCGCTATCTACAAGCACTTTGAAAACAAAAGGCATGATGATATTAGTCAACCACTGTTCCAAATACTGAAACTCAATCTTAATGACATTTTCTGAGAAAATGAGTATGCTCTTTGAAATGTAGAACACGACTGAAATGAGAATCGGTTGTTAATGGAAATCACTCAGGCAGTCAGACCTTATTTGGATCTTTTAAGGGTAGAGGGATAAAGGATGCTACCTGATGAGCACAGTTCAGAAATGACGTACTGTACTGTGAGAAAGTAAGACTGTTTGCAGATGGATCATTACTACATATGGCTGGGAGTGGGGCTGAAATGAACACGCTGAGGCCATCCTGGCAGGGCAGTTAACGATGAAACGCCTGGCCCAGCCTGAATACCATGCCATATTACCACATGCCCCAGGGTGGAAATGGAACACTGAGATTCCTGGCTTTATATCTAACACGAAATAGTGAGTTGAGCAATACTGAGCACCCAGGCCCATAGACAGAAAGACAGAGAGAGAAGAGTGGTGTAGGGAGAGAGATACATGTGCACACTAACAGTCAGTTATTCTTACTCAAATAAAGTTGCCATTTGTTCAGTGTGGAGTGTTCCCCAAGTCACATGACTCGCATGTGGTCTCATTAACCAGGGAGAGAGTTCTTTGTTCAGATCTTGGCTACTTTCCAATGTAACATGAGATACTGTATATTATTAGCTTTATATTCTTAAGGAATTTGAGGACAATTTTATTATTATAAAAACGATTAAACATACAGTAGCTAATACTCCTTGTAACGTTGTTATTTTAAAATCTAATTTGTTCGGTTTATGATCTGCACAATATGATAGCTTGCATATAATCCATGCTTGTAAGGCGTTTGACGATGTTGTCTTGCTGGCAAACAAATGTCAAACTGTGAACCAACCTCCTCATGTCCTAGAGACCAACATTTTAATTTGTTCCCTTTCTCTCCTATAGACCCTACTCCCTTCATAACATGTGCAATTATTGCATGTAAATGTGTATTTGAGTGCCTTGTCCTATTTTTTGACATTGAAATGTTAATATGCTATGTAGTCTTCTCTTTCAACCACTGGAGGGCAATCCAGTGACATAAGAATCCAGTGCTTAGTTTACATAATTAACAGTAAGTGTTAATTTTTGTTAAATGGTCATCTCTCAGTCTCCTCTTCTAGACATCATATATGCCAGAAATAATTGAATTAAATGACTTCAAATGAACAAACATCAAATGAAAAGTGGTTTATATCATTATAAGCCACTCTACTTCAAAGAACATTAGTCAGTCCAGCTATGTTTAATGAAATGGATTGATGGATGAAGAGAACATGAGAGGAATCTTTCGCCCTTTGTTGCTTGTTTCCTCAGAGTGTTTTCTCTGGCTCTGGATTTAGACAGAAAAGGTAAGGAAACCAGTGGAGGCTGCTGAGGGGAGAATGGCTCATAATAATGTCTGGAACGGCGCGAATGGAATGGCATCAAACTATGCGTTTGATGTATTTGATACCATTCCATTTATTCCGTTCCAGCCAGTACCACGAGCCCATCCTCCCCAATTAAGGTGCCACCAACCTCCTGTGGTAGAAACATCTCTTTCAATGAAATACTGGACCTCATTCTGACGTCCTAGCATCCAGGGGACCGTTAGAGTAAGAGAGCAACACCGTAAACAACATGTTGTTTCAGGAGATTCAACTTCCCTATTAAGTCTTGTTCGGAAGATTCATCCAGGTTTTCATTTATCTAACAGTCATGTGTATCCGTCTAAGTGTGCATGTGTATCCGTCTTGGAGGACTCAGTGGGCTGTTTTGACAAAAAACCTTGGTGGTAGAAAATAGGACATTGAGTACCATTCCACATTAAGTGAGTCAGAGACAGAGACAAGGACGACAGCATAGACAGACACAACATGTCAGGAATCTTAGAATGACAGATTGTGTAAAACTTAAGACAGAACGTGTAAAACTCAATACACACCAGTAATGACAACAGTTTGAATCATGTTGTTCCCTTACCACCAGCTGTCCTGTGATGTCTAAAGGCAGACAGTTAACTGAAGCATCATGCACATCAGAAGGAGGATTATGACATTGTAACAGTCCACCGTCACACCACCCACACACTAGTACATGCTGTTCACAATAGATATGTCATATGTGTGGAGCAAGCACATGTACATACACAGTGACACGTTAACAGATCAGCCCTAATGAAAATGTGCATCATCATCATCATCATCATTCCCTCACTTACTAACTTAATAACCTGATGTCTCATAACCATATTGGGATGGAGTCTCCTTAGGACCAATGTGACCTCATCCCTCTGTCGTGCATACTTCTTCCTGCATCATGGAGCTGACACTTCCCCTGTGGACACCAGAGCCTGTAGAAAATACTCCCAAAATACCCTGCACTTCTAAACAAGGTGTTCTGAGGAGGAAAAAACTACAGTGGTATGCTTGGCAGTAGGTGAAGACCTTTCCATTCCACCTAAAACCCTGTTGCTGCCAGTCTGAGAGGAGGCTTCTTTATCCCTGAGTCTAAGACGGGTGCTTTTGAGGTTAAGACCAGCAACACGACGCCACTGCATTTGAGTGTTGGTGACGCACCCTCTGTTGCCCCAAAGCAGAGTCGTGAGGGATCAGATCCCTAACAGGTTCACACACGCACGCACTCAAAAACCCCACATCGGAGAGGTAAACAGGGTGGGGTCAACTGATATTAACCTCAGTGGGGTGCAGAGGGATTTCGTGAGAGATCTGAGAATGGGCTCTCTTCACCTCAGACTAGGAATCATCCTCCCATCATCACTGGGTGGGAGGAGGACCCCCACAGAGACTGTCCAAAACAAAAAGGCCAATCTGAACCCCTATTAATAAAGCAGGACACTCACATTTCGTGCATACCCTGCCTAATGTCAGGCAGCTGTTATCTCCCTGCAGGAAGTGCTCTTCGCTCCGGGCCGGCCATGGTGCTGGAGCAGTGCTGATATCAGTACGGGAGGGGACAGGACAGGGACCCAGCTACAGCACAGGACGAGGCACCGGGCGATAAGATAGAGTTGTCTCTGGGAGCACCCCATCTTTCTTTTCCACTCTGTTTTAGTACCCAGAGGGCCCGGCTTCCCCATTCACCCTCTCCATAAGGCACAGAGACCCTGGTATGGAGAACCGTAGGTCCTAACCTTGGGCAGGGAGAAAGTGATGGGGACCTCCGTTTACAGAACTCTCCTTCTACGCACTGGAGGTTTCAACGTGTCTGACTACATTCAAAAGTTCACGGTAAGAGACCTGGCTCTCATTGCTTTTGGGTTGAGGGTATACAAGCTAGTTTTATTTTCATCATTTTATTTAATCAGGTTCATGGATGAAATGTCTGATGAGATTCAAACCAGACTATTGGTCACACTTTTAATGACAAATAATAGACATAAAAGATGCTCGGCAAAACGAAATGAATTACTGACTAGACTCTAGAACATTTCTGTTTTGTTCTATTATTCATAAGGGCCTGGGGTTACATAATATTACAACTCAAATCCAGTGGCGGCTCCTGAAAAAATTCTCAGGGGGGGCAATTTTTCTGATGATTTAGGTGACCTACACACATTTTAAAAAAGATATGTCCAGCAACAACATGAAGACAGGGGCAGCATATAAGTCAATACTGATATACACATTACTTGCTTCAAAAAGGCCTCATGGTTGAATTGGAAATATGTGCACCTGAGCATAATTCACAACAAGCAAGCAGGAGCTTTTGATAGAGGCTACTGAAAACATTGATGCAAGTTATTGGTAATAAGAAATGTTTATAGACTTCCATATTCTGCCCTCTTGTATAGATTTGTGAAAATGAACAGTGATATACATTTTGCCTGAAAACAGAATTTGAAAATAATTTCTAGAAAAGGTAAACACAGCTATCTGTATGTCTTTGTAAAAATGAACAACCATATTCTGGCCAATTGTATAGATTTGTAAATATGAACAACCATATTCTGGCCAATTGTATAGATTTGTAAAAATGAACATGAACAGATTTATTTTTATTTTTTTCTTAAAAAAAAAGAAAAATAACTATTTTAAACAACATCAACTGTGAACTGATTTGGGCGTGTGTGTGTTAAAGAGACAGACAGGGAGGGACAAAGAGAGAGAGAGGCTACATTACTTGTACTGAAACTGTTCTAGCTTGCTGCATGATCAAATTCAGCTGATGCGCATAGCAATGCACGTAATGGGCATTCTTGAAATGCTCACGCACCTTTTGCTGCACACCAGCCTTCTCTCCCCTCATCACACTGGCTCCATCGTAAGCTTGCGCAATGAGTTTGACTTTCTCGTCATCGGCAAAAAGACCGTTCAGTCTCTCCAAAAGCACACTGGCGATTGAGACTGAGGTTGATTCCGAGATGGGAAGGAACTCAAAAAAGCGCTCCTGCACTTTGTGGTTGCTATCTATGTACCTCAGCACAAGCACCAGCTGTGTCTGTGTAGAAACGTCCGTGGTCTCGTCAGCTTGGATAGCTACGAAGTTCGCCGACTTCACCTCCTCCACAATATGTTCCCTCATGACCGCTAGCATACACTCCAGTAGCTCATTTTGAATGGTCTTTGATGTGCCCTTGAAAACTTTAGCATTTTTAAGATGGTCATCAAACACCTCATCTAAT